GAACTGCCAACACTTCACTTAGCAACCAAGTGCTTAACCACTGTGCCACCATGGCCCCTTGGTTAGACTATATCCCAAATGGAATCTACTGCTATTGAGTCAATGTCGACTCCTAGTGACCCTCTAAGGATAGCAAAGAACTGCGCCATAGGGTTTCCAAGGTTGTAAATCCTCTCAGAACCTGATTGCCACATCTTTCTCCATGGAACAGCTCATGGGTTTGAACTGCCAATCTTCTGGTTAGCAGTTAAATGCCTTATAGGCACTACACCACCAGAGCTCCTTCTATCTTGTTCAGGCTAATGTTATTTGGGGATCTTCCATTACACATGGTGACTGGAGACTGACCTTTGAGTTATTCTGGATGGAGTCAATCAGTAAAGACAACTTCTTCTGCAGCTCCTGCAAATCCTTTGAGATACTCGAGGGCTCCTCTTTTGCCATCCTGACACCCACTTTAGTCTCCTTGAGGAATTGATTCTTCTACCAGTTTGTTTACTGGTGTAGGGCACAGTCAACGTCACATGTCATCTGGCTCTTGCTGTCACTACAAGAGACAAAAGAAGTTGCTTAAATCATTAATGGTTTCCAATTCTTCAAGAAGAATTGCTTCTATCCTCACACATTGCTGCTGGTAGATGTGCCTCTGGAGGGTAACTTGGCAATATCTATCAAAATTTCAAAATACACCCCCTTGGATCCAGCATTTCATTTTCCAGGAAACTGAAGGAAAAAATCAAACAGGTAGATCAAAATATACCAAAAAGATGTGCATTGCACCTCTATTTATAATAAACACTGGAAAGAAGCTATAGGAAATTGGTTGACTAAATTAGAACGAATTCATAGAATGGAATATTGTATAGTCATTGAAAGGACAACGTGTTTAGTTATATGGGGCATGAGATGCTCATAATACGTGAAAGCAAATAGATGTACATTATACATTTTGTTGCATATGTATTTTTATAAGGAGCTCTGATGGTGCAGTGCCTAAGGCATTTGACTGCTACCCAGAAGGTTGGTGGTTCAAATCTACCAGCCACTCTGTGGAAGGCAGACAGGGAAATCTACTTCCATAAGGATTTACCTCCTCGGAAACCCAATGGGGGCTGCTATGAGTCAGAATTAACTTGATGGCAATGTGTTTGGTTTTTGGTTTTGATTCCCATGAACTTGGGATAGAAACAGAAACAGATCTAGAAGGATATACAACAAAACGTTAACAGTATTATCTCTGAGAGCTTATGTTTATTCTTAAGGCTGACAAAATGCTGAAAAGCACAAAGAAAAAAGCAAGAAAGCTGAACACGCTATCTCAAGTGCCAGTGCTTGTTTGTGGCCAATTTCTCTTCTTTATTTACTGCCCATCACTGTGCAGGCTGCCTCCCAGTTACACTGTGCCCTAAATCAGTCTCTATTTACACATGTGTGTAGGCCTCTGGCCCAAGCAGCCCTTGCCACTGTGATATTCTCAGGCTAAACAGCCTGGAATTTCCAGAACTATCCCAACCTCACATAATTATTGATTTATTTTTTCAATAAAAAGTAATTTGTTAAACTAGGCATCTATTCTTAAAAAAAAAACCAAAAAACCCTGTGAGATGTTCATATGAACAAACATCCCATTCTTACATATTCCATATTTCCCAGAGTGACAGCTGTAAGGCTGAACCCAGTCTTACAGCCTCTTGTGTTTGTCCTTCCAACTGACCTTCTAGTCCTATAATAACACCAGTTGTCATGCAGTTTTTCAGACTCTTCACATGCCTAAATGTTTAGGTCACAGTGACCAAAATGAACTGAGACATGCTCACATTTACTCACATACTGAATATTCCTTACGCTAGTTATGTGAGTCCAGGAAAAAAAAAAGTACAAATACCTACAAGGGTGTGGTATGGCCAGTAAAGTACATTTTAATCCCCTCAACTAGAGGCTACCTGCTACAATCCCTTTTGTAAAACAAGAAACCCTTTGCTTGGAAGGGAGGACTAACCTCTCACCCCTCACCTCCACATGTTGTCTTTGGAGCTGCAGCTGGTGGAGGTCCTGTCCCCAGGGCTGGGCTCCCATAATCTCATCTCTGCAGCAGGCAGAAACAAGCCCAGCTGCCCTGCCAGGTCCCTGGGAAACCCAAGCGCCACACAGACTGGTTCGGGGAGTCCCATAGGGGTGAGCGTGGGGGGAATGCCACCAGCCACTCGGGTCAAAGCCCCCATCCGGCCACCAACCCCAAAGTCTCAATTGTCTCAAAAACTCACTTCTCAGAGGGGCCTCCCCAAGCACAAAGATGCCTCCGGAGGAGGAAGGAAGTTAATCCCTGCGCAACTGAGAGCTGCCTACTTCATCTGCGCCTCCCAGGCTGAACCACGTGAACACTTACCGCCCTGCCCCTCTCCTTCTAAGTCCCCAAATAAAACATTCTGCCTCTCCCACCGTCGCCCTCTCGGGTGCAAACGGCTATCTCCAACGTTCCACGGACCAACGGTTGCGGGGAGGGCACTGCAGGGCGCCTCAGGTCTCCCCTAGGTCTATCCCTCCCCACCTGGTTCCAATCTCTCAACTCCCTAGGGCGGGGAGGGGAGCACCCCATTTCTGGGCATCCAAGTGGGATAGAAGGGAGTAGGATGCAGGTGGAGATTGAGAGATAGGGGATGGGGGGTGAGTGTCAAGAGTAATTGGAAAGGAGAATAATCCACTTTTGGCGCTCGGAGCTCCTCTCCTCTTTGCAGTGACAGGGGAGGGGGCAGTTTCGGTGGAGAAGAGGAATACGTTCCGGTGGGAGGAAGGACACCCATTTTCTCTAATTATAGGGAGAGGATTTGGAGACCGGACGTCTCCCCAACAAGATTTCCCACGACAGGGCAGGGTTTCGAGGGTGGGGTGGGGCTGGCATCCCTTTTACCAAACCAAGTCGTAAAGGGTGGGGCGCGTGGGCCCAGTCTCCCCGTCCCAGAGACTCCGGAGGGAAGAGATAATCCTTATTACTAGACAGGGTAGGAGCTCTGGTAGCGTAGTGGCTAAGGCATTTGACTGCTAACCAGAAGGCTGGCAGTTGAAACCCACCAGCCACTCCTCGGAAGGAAGATGGGGCAACCTACTTCCGTAGTGATACTGCCTCGGAAACCCAAGGAGGGGTCGCTATGAGTCGGTTTGGACTCGACTGCTCATAACAACAACACTAGACAGGGAATACAGAGCTAAGGCGAGGGGCACTCGGCTGCCCTCCCCGGCTCCGGCTCCCGCGCTCCACTATTTCCTCTGCCCGGGCATCCTGGACCCCCGTCCCCACGCTCGCACTCTCACCTCGTCCGGAGGCCCGGTGGTGACCAGCCCATACGCAGCCCCTACCGCAGGCGGAGCGGTGGGAAGCAGAGCCGGAGCAGGAAGAGACGCGCCGGCAGGAGGGCGGGCGCGGAGGGGGCGAGCCGGCGTCCTTCTCGCGTTGCCGCATTCCCCGCCCCTCGGCGGATGGCAACGCCTCGCGGCTGCGCTCACCTACGCTCTGCCCTCCAGGCCAGAAGGATAGGGCAGACGCGCCAACCGGCAGCGCCCGGCGTTGGGAAGTGCTCTCGGAGGTACCCAGACCAATTCGAGAAGTTTACAGATGAGAAAACAAGCTCAGAGGGAGTCCCCAGGCGGGCTGTCTCTGAGACAGGTGGACTGGCAGCTGACAATGGGTTTTCATAGAGTTTTAGGGCCTTCCCTGCCTAAATATCCAGAACCAACTCTTCTGGAAGCATCTCTGGAGCTCAGGACCTACGTGATAAGGTATGACCCAGACTTAACGGTTTTAACTCGTTAGATGCAAATGCCATGAGCCAGTGAGATCCTTCGAGATGGATTAGATTGTTTATCCGTTATGCAGGCATGTTGTTGTTAGGAGCTGTGGAGTCTGTTCTGACTCATGGGGACCCACTCATTGTACAACAGAAGACACTGCCCGGGCCTGCGCCAATCTCACAATCACTGAACTGCTTCCGCCCATTGTTGCAGCCACTGTGTCACTCCATCTCCTTGAGGGTCTTCCTAACTTTTGCTGATGATTACCTTTACCAAGCATGATATTCTTCTCCAGGGACTTGTCCGTCCTGACAACATGACCAAAGTTAGAGAGGCCAAGCATACCTCGGAGATACTGTGATTGGATTCCAGACCACCAAAATAAAGCCATTATTGCAGTAAAGCCAGTAACACATTTTTTTGGTTTCCCAGTGAATGTAAAAGTATGCTTACACTATGCTGTGGTCTGTTAAGTGTTCAATAGCATTATGAAAAAGTTTGAAATATTGTGAGAATTTAAAAAATTACACAGAGACACGAAGTGATTGCATGGTATTGGAAAAGTGATGCCAATGGACTTGACGCAGGGATGCCACAATCATCGATTTGTTTAAAAAAATGCATTATCTGGAAGAACAATAAAGTGAATTGCAATAAAATGAGGTATGTCTGTGCATGTGAAAAAGTCAAGGGCCTGGTGGCACAGTGATTAAGCACTTGGCTTTTAACCAAATGGTCAACAGTTCCAGCCCAATAGTTGCTCTGCAAGAGAAAAGACAGACTTGGCTATCTCCTCTGTAAAGATTATAGCCTGAAAACCCTATGGGAAGTTCTACTCTGTCCTATTGGGTCACTGTGGAATAGACTGGACAGCACACAACAATAGACTTAAATCACACTAAATTTCAGGTCACTGCATGGTGCAAATGCTTAAGCGCTAGACTATCATGCATGATAAGGTATGACCCTGACTTAATGGTTTTAACTTGTTGGATGCAAATGCCGTGAGTCAGTGAGGTCTTTGGAGATGGATTAGATTATTTCTCCGTTATGCAGGCATGTTGTTGTTGTTAGGTGCTGTGGAGTCTGTTCTGACTGAAAGTTGGCAGTTTGAACTTACCCAGAGGCACCTTGCAAGATAGGCCTGGCAATATGGTTCTGAAAACTCTATGAGCAGTTCTTTTCTGCAAACATGGAGTCACCATGAGTCAGAATCGACTTGATGGCAATTAACAACAACAAATTTCAGATGGAAGAGTGTCTCCTACTTACACACATATATACATACATACTGAGCACTTTTTTTTTTTAACGTTTTATTATGATTTGGGTGAAATTTTACAAAGCAGATTTGTTTTCCATTCAATGGTTCATACACATTTTGTTTTATGACACTAATTATAATCCCCATAATGTAACGGCTCTCCTCCCACTTCCTCCCTGTAGTTACCCTTTCCCTGTGTCCTTCTTGCCTATGCATTCCTGCTTCCATAGCTTTCTCCCCGTGTAAATACTGCCCTTCTGATCTCCCATAGTTGACTGTTCTAAGGGGTGCATCTCCCTAATGCAGTTGTTTAGTTTGTAGGCCTGTCTGTTATTTGGCTGAAAGACACGAGAGTGAGTCCATTTCCAAGCTCAAAGGATGACTAGGGCCCATAGTCTTGGGGGTTTCACCAGTTTCTATCTGACCAGTAATCCTGCTCTTTTTAAATTTCTTTCGACATTCTTCTCCCACTCTTCCAAGATCTCCTATTGTGATCTCTTTCTGAATACTTGGCAGTGATAACCAGGTCCCATCTAGTTTTTCTGGTCTGAGGGTCATATAAGCTGAGCTTCTCATGGTCTATTAGTTCTTTGGATTGTTCCCATATGTCTTTCATTTTCTTCACTCTTCTTTGCTTTGTATAAGGAGAGACCGATAATTGCATCTTAGAGGGCTGCTCACAAGCTTTTAAGATCCCAGTCACTGCCTACCAAAGTAGGATATAGAAGTGTTTGTTTGTACTGTGTTGTGCCAGTTGAGCTTGATGTCCCTGTCACTATGGTCCTGAGCCCACAGACCCAGTGACTCACTCTCTCAAGGTGCTTAGTGTACCTAAGACGTTAACTTTGTGCCCTGTTGGCTCTGTACTACATGTGGTCATTTTTATACCACATGCAAATAGACATGTAAGATCATCATCTGCCCAGCCTATGTATGGTCATGAGTATATTCCCATCCACCTACCCATACCTGATCATCTTGCCTGTCTACCTAGGTATCCACCCACAGATTAGTGTTTGCTATTACTGATAAGGCACTATTGTGTATGTACAAGTATTTACCTTTATAGTTTGTACCTCTTGTGCACCTCTCCATGTCTTCCTTTTTCTTAGTGATATTGTGCTGGTCACATGCTTTTGTTATATTGCCTTTCTCTTCACACAAATCAACATGTCTCTTTATTGGCCAGCATTTTTTCCTCCCCTCTCCTCACATCCATGGTAACCAACAAAGAAAATTTCCTTCCATGTATAAAACTTTCCTTAATTTTTGTAATAATGGACCCATACAGTATTTGTCCTTCTGTGATTGAGTTATTTCACTCAGCATAATGTCCTCCAAGTTCATCCATGTTATAAGGTGATTAGTGTACTCTTCATTATTCTTTAATGTTGCATGGTATTCCATTGTGTGTATGCATCATAGTTTGGTTATCCACTCATCTGTTGATGGGCACTAGGTTGTTTCCATCTCTTTGCTATAGTGAATAGTGCTGCAGTGAACATGGGTGTACATATATCTATTTATGCCCTGGGTCTCACTTCTGTAGGATATTTTCCTAATAGTGGGATTGCTGGATAAATGGTATTTTTATTTCCAACCTTTTAAGGTAGTGCCATACTATTTTCCACAGGGGTTGTACCATTTTATAGTTCCACCAGCAGTGTATGACAGTTCCAATCTCTGCACACCCTTGTCAGCATTTGTTGTTTTCTGTCTTGTTGAACTTTGCTGTTATTGCTGGGGTGAGATGAATCTCATTGTTGTTTTGATTTATATCTCCCTAACTCACTGAGATGTTTCAACAAATGGATGTACTTATGCCAAGAAGTTTGATAGACAGATACCTGGCCAACTGACTGGAATACATCCATATTTGTGCTCATTCCACAGAAAGGTGATCCAACCAAATGTGGAAATTATCAAACAATATCATTAATATCACACACAAGTAAAATTTTGCTGGAAATAATTCAAAAACAGTTGTAGCAGTATACTGGCAGGGAACTTCCCAAAATGCAAGCTGGATTCAGAAGAGGATATGGAATGAGGGATATCATTGCTGATATCAGATGGATATTGGCTGAAAGCAAAAAATATCAGAAAGATGTTTACCTGTGTTTTATTGACTGTATAAAAGTATTAGACTGTGTGGATCATAATAAATTATGGAAAATATTGCAAAGAATGGGAATTCCAGAACACTTAATTGTGCTCACGATGTACTTGTACATGTAGACCAAGAGGATGCCATTCGAACAGAACAAGGGGATATTGCATGGTTTAAAATCAGGAAGGGTATATGTCAGTATTGTATCTTTTCACCATACTTACTCAATCTGTATGCTGAGCAAATAATACGAGAAGCCAGACTATATGAAGAAGAATGTGGCATCAGGGTTGGGGGAAGACTCATTAACGACCTGTAATATGTAGATGATACAACCTTGCTTGCTGAAAGTGAAGATGACTTGAAGTACTTACTGATTAAGATCAAAGACCACAGTCTTCAGTATGGATAACAGTTCAAGATGAAGAAAAATAAATCCTCACAACCAGACCAGTAAGCAACATCATGCTAAATGGAGAAAAGATTGAAGTTGTCAGGGATTTCATTTTATTTCAATCTACAGTCACATTTATGGAAATAGCAGCCAAGAAATAAGATGTTGCATTGTACTGGGTAAATATGCTGCAGAGAACCTCTTTAACCAGAACTAGATGGTTCCTGGCTACCAATGCCAACCACTCAGAAAGGGATCAAAACTGGAGATCCTGGGTAGAGTGGGAAGAAAAATGTGGGACAAAATTCAAAAAGACAAAAATGACCAGAATTACTGGTTGAATGAAGACTGGTGGAACCCCTGAGACTATGGCCCCGGGTTACCCTTTGGGCCTAGAAATGGACTCACTTTCATGGATTATCTCTCAGCCCAACAGTAGAAAGACCTACATGCAGAACACCTACCCTAGGGCAATGCACCCACTTACTCTAGGGAGATGCCCCCCTTAGATCAGTCAGCCATGAGACAACAGAGGGGCAGCATTCACGTAGAGGGAAAGCTGGACAGACAGGAATGCATGGTTAAGAAGGGCACAGGAAGGGGGTGGTCACAGGAAGGGAAAAGGAGGGAAGGGGAGTATTTTATGGTTGGGGATGGTCATCAAGGCCATGAAGTCAAATGTGCATGAACTATTGGATGTAAAGCAAATTTGCTTTGTAAGTTTGCACCCAAAGCACAATTAAAAAAAAAATTAAGTAAATAAAGTGTTAAGAAGCAAAGATGTCACTTTGAAGACTGTTGTTGTTGTTAAGTGCTGTCAGGTCGTCTCTGACTCATAGAGACTCCACGAATAGCAGAACAAAACACTGCCTGGTCCACGATCCTTGATATCCTTGAGCCCATCGCTGCAGCCACTGTGTCAATCCATCTCATTAAGAGCCTTCTCTCCTCTGTTGAGCCTCCTCCACCTTACCACTTAATCTTCTTCAGGGAATGATCCCTTCTGACAGCCTGACCAAAGTAGGTG